TTTCATGTGGCCCGCGAAGCCATCCTGGAAACAGTGAGAGAACGGCCCCCGCTGCCTTGGCCCCGGCCCAGGCCGGCCGGGAGCCAATGTACAATTTTGTGGTGGCCATCTTGGCACTTGCCCCAGTGGACCATGCCTTGGCACTTGCCCCAGTCCCACCCCTTTCTGCCAGAGACCCTCAGATCTGTCCCACTCCTGCCCAGGCCCCCACAGGTACCCTTGACGCGAACGATGTAGAGCTGGCCATGCCCACCCATTAGGCCACACTCACTCCATCTACGCCCACCCAGTAGGCCGCACCTACCCCCCCCCCAGGGCAACCACAATGCTGATGCGGCCCTCAGTGAAATTGAGTTTGACACCCCTGGACTAGATAGTCACTTGTCTGAGATGTTATAGGTTCTCCTGTTTGACCAGGGGGCTGGACTAGAAGACCTCCAAGGTCCTTTCCAGGTCTATTCTATTCTAAATGATTCTAAAAAGGAAGAGGGGAACGGCTGCAGAGCGCGGACAGGAAGTTGGCCATGCTGGGAAGGTCACTGATATAGGAAAAAGGACAAGATTTTTTTTTTCCCAGCCAAAACAAAGGGTCCCCCTGGTTTGTTTGGCACTTGTAATTTTGGGTACCAGTCATGCCTTCCAGAACTAATTAACTTCGAGTAGCAAGGTACCACTGGACGGGTAGTCCTCGACTTACAACAGTTCATTTAGTGATCGTTTGGAGCTACAATGGTGCTGGAAAAAAAGTGACATAACTTTTTTTTCCACAGTTACGGCCGTCGTAGCATTCCCACGATCACGTGATCCAAATTCAGACACTTGGCAACTGACTCATATTTATGACGGTTGCAGGGTCCCAGGATTGTGTGATCACCTTTTGCGACCTTCTGACAAGCAAAGTCAATGGTGTGGGGGGAGCCAGATTCACTTAACAACCAGGTCTCTAATTTAACAACTGTAGTGATTCAGTTAACAACTGTGGCAAGAAAGGTCGCAAAACAGAGCAAAATTCATTCATTTAACAACTGTCCCGTTTAGATAACCTTTATTGTCATTTTTTTTACTGTGGGCACAATGGCACGCACCAAAAATGAAATTTAGTTGCCCGCTGTCAAAGTGAAATACATACATGACACATACCTACACATACTATGTACAACGTATGTATAGACCCATACCCCTACATATACATAACAAATAAATATTAAATACTGACCATCTTGAATATATAATGCAGTGATGGCGAACCTTTTAGAGACCGAGTGCCCAAAAACTGCCCCCGCCCCCGCTCTACCCCCCCTGCCCACCCCCGCTCTGCCCCTCATCCCCCGCCCCACCTGCCCACAGGACCACTCACCACCTCCAGGGCCCGCCGCAGATCGCCCAGGCAGCCTAGCAGCGCTATGGCGGCCACACCCTCTGCCCGCGCCCTGCAGCATCAACTGCATGATGGGGTGTGAGGGCAGAGTCTTGTCTACGCTGCCTGGCTGCCATGTCCTTGGCTGCGCTGCTCCGTGTGGGCCTCGCTCGAGAGCGAGTCTCCTTCAGGGGGGCTGCTGGAGAGGACGGGGTCGCGGGGGGAGGCGAGGCTGGGGCAACAGCACGTGAGCCCACAGAGAGGGCTCCGAGTGCCGCCTCTGGTCCCCGTGCCATAGGTTTGCCACCACTGATATAATGGAAGGAGGAAGCTTGAGAGAAATTTTGAGCTGAATTGTGATCTAAGTCAAGGACTACCTGTACTAATTACGCTGAGGACTAGCTGTATTTTCTCTTCTTTCCTTCTCTGCTTGCTTTCAATTTCTTTCCTGTTCTCTCAGATCACCTCACTGCAACCGCAATCAAGGAAGAAACACTCCAGCCAGGCAGCCCCGAACTGGAGGGAGCCCACAAAACACAAAGGTCCTGTGGGGAAGGACTGGTGAGGCCCCTTTTCCAGAAAGGGGACGCCGATTTAGACAATCCAGAGGGGAGAACGCTGCCAAGGAAGTGGCTTTGGGAAGAGGGCCAGACCCTTAACCAGCATCTAACCCACATAAGTGAGCAAAAGCATTCATGTCCCGAATGCGGGGAACGATTCCGCCATCAGCCGCCGACGGTACAGCATCGGGTGATCCACACCGACATCAAACCGAAGGAGCACCAGGACGTCCACCGAAAAGAGAAAACATCTTTCAGCTGTCCCGGCGTTGAGAAAAGCTTTACGCGCCAAACGATCGACACGGGGGAGAGGTCAGCCGCACGTAGCGCATGCGGGAGACACTCCCGCGAGTGGATTCAGCCGAGCCAGCATCCCATAATGCAAGGCGGAGAGGCGGCTTACGAGTGTCCGTTGTGCCAGAAGGAATTCCGGAGAAAAAGGAACTTGATTGCGCACCAGAAGACCCACACTGGGGAAAGGCCGCACAGCTGCTCGCAGTGTGGAAAAAGCTTCAGCGAGAAAGCCAAGCTGATTCGACACGAAAGGGTCCACACCGGGGAGAAACCGTACGCGTGTCCCACTTGCCCGAAAAGTTTCAGTCAACGAGAGACGTTGCTGAGGCACCGGAGAATCCACACGGGAGAGAAGCCTTATCGGGGTTTCGTAGGCGGGGAAGATTTTCAGCAGAGAGAGAGACGCTGTTGCGGCATCACGGGAAGAAACTTCAGTAATGCTCGGTGAAGCCGGAAGCGAATGCGGCTGGGTCCTCGGCTTAATGACCACAATTGAGCTCCCAAATTTCTGTCGCTAAATAAGACTGTCGTTCAGTAAGTTTTGCCCCATTTTACGACTCTCCTTGTCACGCTTGTCAAGAGCTAAGCCAGCTCAGTTGTTTCGTTGCAAGATGGGTGGCAAATAAGTTAAATAAATAAAAAAATGAATGAATGAATGAATCACTGCAGTTGTTAAGTTAATGACATAGATGTTAAGTGAAGTATTAGTTGTTGTTGTTGCGAAGTCGTGTCCGACCCATCGCGACCCCATGGACAATGTTCCTCCAGGCCTTCCTGTCCTCTACCATCTTCTGGAGTCCATTTAAGCTCCCGCCTACTGCTTCAGTGACTCCATCCAGCCACCTCATTCTCTGTCGTCCCCTTCTTCTATTGCCCTCGATCTTTCCCAGCATTAGGCCCTTCTCCAGTGAGTCCTTCCTTCTCATTAGGTGGCCAAAGTACTTGAGTTTCAACTTCAGGATCTGGCCTTCTCAGGAGCAGTCGGGGTTGATCTCCTCTAGGACTGACTGGTTTGATCGCCTTGCAGTCCAGGGGACTCGCAGGAGTCTTCTCCAGCACCATAGTTCCAAGGCCTCAATTCTTTGGCGCTCAGCCTTTCTTATGGCTGAATTTCTTAGTACCATTCTTAGTACTTTATAAAACCTCAGTAAGACACACCTGGAATACTGCAACCAATTTTGCTCACCACGTTACAAAAAAAAGCTGTTGAGTTTTTGGAAAAAGTTCAGAGAAGAGCAGCTAAGATGACCCAAGGCTTGGAGACTTTGAAGAAGGGCTGAAGGATTTGAGTATGGCTAATCTAGAGCAGGGTGTCCCCAACCCCCGGTCCGTGGACCAGTACCGGGCCGTGGCATGCCGGCAACCGGTCTGCACAAACAAGGAAAGCCCCATCCACAGGATGCAGGCAGCACACGAAACCACACACCCCTCTGGTCCGCAGAAAAACCTCTCTCCACGGAACCGGTCCCTGGTGCCCAAAAGGTTGGGGACCTCGGGTCTAGAGAGAAGAAGAAATAGGGGTGACTTGATAGCAGTATTCCAGTATCTGAGGGGCTGCCATGAAGAAGAGGGAGTCAACCTGTCCTCCAACGCATATATCCACCCTTGTGCAGAGTAAAGATAAGCTTTATTGTCATTTTTTTTACTGTGGGCACAACGGCACACATCAAAAATGAAAATTAGTTGCCCGCTCTCAAAAGTGAAACACATACATGATGCACACCTAAACATACTACGAACATATGTATAGACCCACATCCCTACATATACATAGCAAATAAATATTAAATGCTGTCCATCTTGAATATATAACGGAAGGAAGAAGCTTGAGAGTTCACAAGGTTAACGCTGTACGGAATGAAACTATGGCTGAATCTGGATGTTCTGCTACGGATACCACGAAGCCCCCTCCTCCCAGAAGGGAGCAAGGAAAACAGGTCGTGAAAAGGATGTGTAATGACCCAGATAATCTTACGGACCCTGCTCAAGCAACACTTCTGTGCTATGTCCTGGATGGAAGGGAGGGAACTGCCAATGATCTTTTCGGCCATTCTCAACACTCTCTGCACCGCCTTCCTGTCTGAAGCAGTGATGCTTCCAAACCAGACTTGTGATACTGTATGACAGGATGCTCTCGATCGTCCCCCTGTAGGAAGTGGTCAGGACAGGGGAAGGAAGATGTGCTTTTCTCATGCGGCGCAGGAAATGCAGGCGCTGCTGTGCCCGCTTCACCAGTTTCTCACTGTTGAGCGACCAAGTCAGCCTACTCGTTAGCTGCACACCCAGGAATTTGACGCTGGTAACCATCTCCACAGGTGAATCATTAATGCACAGAGAAGTGTGCCTGTCTTTTCTGAAATCGACAATGATCTCTTTGGTTTTTCCGGTATTTAAAATTAGGCTGTTTTCCTTACACCAGTTCACCAACCCCTCAACTTCCTTGAGGTAGTCATCCTGAATATGGCCCACTACTGTTGTATCATCTGCGAACTTCACAATACGGTTGGTGGCAAACCTGGCACAACAGTCATGAGTCAACAGGGTGAACAACAGAGTAAAGACAAAAGAGTACATGGGAGTAAGACAAGAGGGCATTCCTGTCTTTCAGTCCTTCCAAATATATCATCTTCTGCTTCATACGTTGCCTTTGGTTCTTTAAACATCTCCGCTCTTTATCCAGGGGCTCATCCATGCCATCCAACCTTGAATTTCTCTGCCTTCCCACCTGTTACCATGGATACTGTCCTGGCTTTCTTTTGCCGGAGTCGTTCTAGCTCTATTTGCAGGCCTTTACATTTTGTGATTTTTTTTTTGGTCGTCCCCCAGTTCTTTCTCTTCTATTCTGCTGTTCTGGATACTACTGTGTCCACTATCCAGACTTTTTTAAAAAAAGCATTCCACTAAAACTGGTTGCAGTTACTTCCCTTTTCATAGCTGGGCTTGGCTGCTCTTGAAAAGCAACGTGTCATCAACCCTAGCTAGAATACTTAAGCACATGGTCACCTTGGGCTACCATGTTGGGAAGTCAAAGAGAAAGTCAGAGGCAGATCACGTGTGTATGGGTTGTTGTTAGTCCTGGGATGGAAGACCACCAGGAGATCCTGTACAGAATAGTGTCTTGGTAATATTATGTAAGAAAAGTAACTTTTTGTGGCACCTTCTAGATCAGGGGTCTTCAAACTTGGTCCTTTTATGACTTGTGGACTTCAACTCCCAGAATTCATCAGCCAGCCAGCCAGCCAGGCTGGCTGAGGAATTCTGGGAGTTGAAGTCCACATGTCATAAAAGGGCCAAGTTTGAAGACCCCTGTTCTAGATAAACACACTTGCACTATACGTATATATGACTGTATCCTAGAATGAATTGGTCAGCTTACAGTATAATGTACAGTATAATAAAATGCAGTAGGTTGATGCTGAAAGTTGCCTGTTTCATTAGGAAACCAAAGGGGTCACTTGACGCATTGGGGTGACACCTGTTGAACCTCTACCTGTTCCATAGACCTAGCAGACACAGGGTCCAACACTGCCCCTGCCAGAAGGCCCCGGAGAACGGAGAACAATGGTTGTAACTCCTCGCTGGGGTGAGAAAGCAGCCTTGCTTCTTCCGAAAGTGACGGCTGTACACAGGTCCAGGTAGTAGTAGTAGTAATAATAATAACAATAATTAAATAATAATAATAATAATAATAATAATAATAATAAAGTTGGAAGGGACCTTGGAGGTCATCTAGTCCAACCCCCTGCTCAGGCAGGAAACCCTATACCATTTCAGACAAACGGCTGTCCAGTCTCTTCTTAAAAACTTCCAGTGTTGGTGCATTCACCGCTTCTGGAGGCAGGTTGTTCCACTGGTTAATAGTCCTCGAGTTACGACCCCAACTGAGTCCAAAATTTCCACTGCTAAGTGAAACATTTGGTTAATTTTCTTTGGCCTGTTTTGCAACTTTTCTTGCCAGCTGTTAAGTCAGTGGTTCTCAACCTTTTTAATGCCGCGACCCCAACCGGTCGTAAGTCGAGGACTAAACCGGTTGTAGGTCGAGGACTAAACCGGTCGTAAGTCGAGGACTAAACCAGTCGTAAGTCGAGGACTACCCAACCGGTCGTAAGTTGAGGACTTTCCCTGCCCGGGAGCGCCGCGCATGCGTGGTTCCGCCCCCTGCGCCGGCCGAGGCGTAGCTGGCAAGCGGCAGAGACGGAGCAGGCCGACCACCAGCTGGCCCAGCCCAAGGGAGGTAAGGCACCCGCCGGAAAAGGGGGAAAAATGGCGGACAAAAAAAAATGGCGGACAAAAAAAATGGTGGACAGCCTTGCTTGGCGACCCCCATGAAATGGTCGATCGACCCCAAATGGGGTCCCGACCCACAGGTTGAGAACCACTGTGTTAAGTGAATCATTGCATTTGTTAAATTAGTGACAAGCTTGTTAAGTGAATCCTGGCTTCCCCATTGACTTTGCTTGTCAGAAGCGTGCAAAAAAAAAAAGGGTGATCTCATGATCCCCGGGACACTGCGACCGTCATAAATGCGAACCAGTGTGCCAAGCAGCTGAATATTTGATCACGTGACTGAGAGGATGTTGCCGTAGTCGGGTGACAAACGGTCATAAGTCACTTCACACACACACACACACACACACACACACACACACAGTGCTCTTGTTACTTCGAATGGTCACTAAACGAACTGTCGTTAAGTCGAGGACACCCTGTCTTGTATTCCGTGTGAACGGCGAGCGCACGCTGCACAGTCCCAGGTTCCTCTACCGGGAGAAAGCTAACCTTGCGGACCGTTTGAAACGGCGTTTAATCCGGTGTCAAGCCGACGCAGGATCGCCGGCGAAGAAAACTCGATTTTTACTTTGCAGCAAAGAGCCCGGCTCGCTGCGGCAAGGCGCTCGCGGCGAGCCCTTGTCAGCCGCGTGGAATCCTGGGAAACGCAGTCCGCGAAGGGCCCGAAAGCCCGCCCGCCCGAGACCCGCCGCCGGCGGAGGCGAACTACAACTCCCAGGGATCCCCGGGAAGAGGAAGCCAATGAAGCGTCCAACCGGTCTTAAGTTTGCCATGTAGCCGTTCCTCCCCGAAGGAATGGCGAGGGCCGGGGCCGAGCAGCAGCTGCCTTGAGGGGGCCACCTTTCGCCTGGCTTTTTCTCCCCCTCTCTCGTTGCCTCGTCCGCCTTTCTCGAAAGAAAGGCCTCCCCGGCCTTGGAAACCTCCCCCCACCTCCACACCCGGAGGTGAAGAGCGCAGAGGGACTTTGCACATGCTCAGAGGCTCTTTTCCGAGTCGCGGCCGCTTCTCTTTTGCTCCCCCCCCCGCCATCCCCCTTTTGTCTTTTGCGGCCCGCTCGAGGAAGGAAAAGGGCCGCCGCGTATAATATTGCGGGAAGGAAGTGCGCTTTGCACATGCTCGGAAGGAATCTCGCCTTTGCTCTTGCAACGCCTTCC